AATTTGGGGGATTTAGAAAAAGGAGACCCATGACCCCAGAAGATTTAACAAGTCTGACTGTCCTGTTAAGCAAGGTGTGTGCTTGCTTTGGGAAAAATATGTTTTGGGATGGTGGGGGAAGGCACATTTTTCTCAAGGATTTTCCAAAATCTTCCTCAAGAGGATGATTTTACTCTAAATATGAACATCTAAAAGCATTTCTCAGGCTAAACTATACAGTGTGAATGTGTTCAAAGAATTCTTGGCTCTGTTCAGAGCAGTGATTCTCAAGCTTGGGGTTTCAGAATGTCCAACCACTGACCACATTATCTAGGGCTTCTGGGAGATGCAGTTCAAAAACACTTAAGACTCAGAATTCTTAAGAGTCAGAAGCTTTCAAGAATACAAAGAATTCTATTGCTTTTTACTACAGATGGACGTGAAATTTCAGAAGCTGCCACAGTTACCTGAGGAGTTGCTACAATTTTGCTTTCCCATGTGGTTAAAAAGAGGGAATCCAAACATGGGAACCACTCCTTATGGAGACTCTCTTTCATTGGAGATATGTGGGTACTCCCCCCCTTTCAGGATAGGAGTAGACATACATCTGTGACCTCAGAAGACGACATATGGACTTGATAAACATATTTGGGAAGCTAATTTATTCTAACTTTAGGAAACATAGTTCTGCATCTCAGTCTTTACCTACATTAACGTTAACTAAAAAAACATGGAGGTCTCCATCCAGTTTGTATATTTAGAAAAAAAATAATCACCTTCAGTTTGCTCAGCTCTCAGTTTATAGCAATACTTGATGTACTTAATAACAGTTATTTATAATGAATGTAAATTTAATCTCATGATAAGCATTATTTGTAACCACAACTGGATAAAAAAAGAGTATAACTATACACAGCTGAAGCAGTGGCTAGAAGCCAAGTCTGCATATTTTTGTGGCTCATCATGTTGTACAGAGATGTTAAATTATTTATCTACGTTTCTGCTCTCTCTGAATATCACAGGCAGCATGAACGGAATTATTTATAGGGCTTTTAGACACAAAAGCTCTATAAGAGCATCCAAACAGCACATGGTACTGATATTATAAATTCAAGCAAGAAAATTGAAAGTATTGAACTGGATGCAGTTTTATTTTAAAACACACATTTATGTCTTGTGAAATACTAAAGCAAATTATCTGCACACCTTAGTGAAGTAAAAAAGTATAGCTAGAGTTTTTAACTAATTTAGTTAAAATTGCATATACCCTGTACTTTTTCAAATAAAGAATATGGAAAGTGTTTCCAACAGGCCTTCTATAAGTTCTTAAGCATAAGGCACAGTAGCTTTAATTGTTGAATGTAACCTGCACTGCCTTAGGTCAGACAGCTCTGAGAGACTGAGAATTTAGAATCAAACTGAAATGATTTATTGAAGATATTTGAGTATAGTTATTTTTTATGTGTGATAAAGAACTTGTTAGACAAGATAACATACCCCGATATTTACTCCTTCTCTTAATAGTCTCTCCAGCAATGTACTTGTTGCACATTCCCAAAAATGCTGCGATTATTAACTTCTTTCTAACTTCTGCAAATATACCAGAGTTTACTGAGTTCATATGAATTCTTCGATATCAACACATTGTAAAGTCCTCTTAGTGTATAGCTACATTGGAAAGTACAGGCGTACCTCAGTTTATGAAATTAATGCATCAGTAAGGTTCCATAAGGAAGAAAAATCATCTCACTAGTCCTGGATTCTGATGTCCAACAAAACTGGAATCTGACTGCAAAAAAACTAGCAATTTAAAGAAAAAGACTTACATGCAAGTGATGTAACACTTGTGGGTAGATTTTGTTGAGAAAGATGCTGGTCAGCTTCAGGCTCCTCTGATTCTGATAGGATGTGGTGACCAGTGTGAGAAAGGTATGTAACCTGAACTGGTTGTGCTTGTGGGGCCTTCGATTTCTCCAGACTCTCAGGATCCCGATTATCCTCTGACTGCAACATGGGCCAAATCCTCTCTCTCCTCCACTGTATTAATGCTACTCTGTCACGTATTGACTTTGCAACTATTTTGACGTCACTTTCATGAAAAAATCCAGCATCAACCTGGAAGAAGATTTTGAAGCATGAACACATGCATATATACATAACATACATACATATTATGTAGCTGCTTATTTCTCTGTTAGGATATTGCCACAAGACATTTAAAACACATTTGAAATCGAAAGTGCCATAATTTTTGTTAACTTGCAAAAGAGAGAAACAGTTGTACAAGCAAAATTAGTTCAAGTAGCACAGATGGAATTTTTCATAAGGAGTTACTTAAGATGAGTTAATTATTACCCTGTCTAAACACTGGAAACCCACCAACTCTAATTTAATGAACATGGGAGCTCCTTATAAGATGAGAATGTTTTTTTTTTCAGTCAAAGAAAGCATAACAGATGGCTGAAAAGGATGGGGCATTTTTAGGAATAATAAAAGTCAGAACTCAATGCAATCATATTTGGCAATCATACTCTTCACATGGATGTCTGCTTCATGAATAGCTAGCCAAAGGAAATGTTCAAAGTGCTTTCAGAAATACATAACATCACATGTAAATCCCCAACCTAGTGCTTTTCAGATGCAAGTGTGGGTTAGCCAATCATCCTAGTGAAGGCAGGAAACTGCAGAGCTGGAAACATTTTCTTTAAAAAGGAATCTGTTGCTCTTTTATGTGTCTCATTAAAATTGCTCCTACTGAAAGAGTGATATGCTTCTGCCATGCTACTTTTTATTTTCTATTTAATTTATTTTCTAACAAAGACATTTGAAAAATACAAAAAGGCCACAAAACTGCCCAACCAAATCAATGTTTTAAGAATAAAATTGCTCATTATATTAAAAAGAACAAAACAGAACTAATCATATCATTTTAAAAACAAGCATTACAATTTTTTTACTTCAAATAACACATTGTGGGTTAAAGTATTGCTAACATTGTGTTACTTGTAAGTTCTTCCAGTTGTGATGTATAAAGGAATAGTCCCAGGTCACTTAAACCACAGTGTAAGCATATTCATATTAAACTACAATAAGATACTCAAATTTAAATCCTCTATTTCAACAAACAGAAAACAACTTGGCCACTATTTACATATTCATCCAGGATCTATCATTGTCTGGAAATGACTAAATCACAGGGCTGTTGTTTAATGCTTAAATATTTGCATTCAAGCAGTTTGACTAAACTTGCTTCAGTCAAACCTGAAAGAGTTAAAAGCACAAGTAATCAGTTTTCCATGATTTGACAATTATAACTAACTCTTCCAAAAAACATGTGCCCTGATATAAAATTGGTGGATCAAGTATTGCTTGCAATTTTTTAAACGAAAAATATAATATTTTTAAAAATATCCTGCAAAAACACAATTACTGATAAAAAGCCAGACAATTTTTGGACAGCTCTTAATGCCTTGTTTGTAGCAGTTGGCCTGCTTTCATGATAGACACCTTTATGGAAGAGATAGAATAACACAGAATGCTTTCTATCCAATTCCAAACAAGATTAGAGCATGAATCTACAAGGAAAATACTGTTATACTATATAATTTATTACCATAATGTACACAGACATGTAGTACAAAACTTACACTAACACATCATTGTGTGTGAGTTAAGACAGCTTTGTTATGTTTTGGAGAAATTCCTACAATTGCAGAACTCCTTCAGTTTGCAATATACTCCACACGGAGACCTGATTTACTAGGGATTCTCTCAATAAATCCAATTGGCTAGTTGATCAAAATACTAGCTAGCATAGCATGTTTGCAGTTGATCCGCTTGAGTATATCAGATAAATTAATTCCATTTGGTAAGTCAACCTATCTGAACCACTCTGGGGTACAAAAAGTGTTCATGGGAAAATGTACTATTGTTACTCATTTTTGGTTTGGGATGCATTTGAACACTGCTGAAATAATTAGGGCTGTTCTCCATTACGTTCTAGGAGAGTAAAGTCTATGAACTCAATTCAAAAAAGACCCAAAGATGTAGAAACACCAGAAGACATCATATCCAACTCCAGAAATTATTTTGCATTTTCTGGAACCTGACAAAAACTACAATGACAAAAATTCAGTAGCAAATCACAAAAAACACTTTTAAAAGAAACAGAAAAATCCTAGTTTTAAAGGAAATTGATAGCTTCTCACCAAAAATAGGAGAGAAACTAGAAACACCCCATCAGAGCAAGATTTCTTGTTTGGCTTAAGAGCCCTTTTCACTTTGCCTTCAAAGTCTGGTGATACAAGAGAGATTGCAGCCTGTCTAAAACTGCCCTCCGGAACTCCCAAAGGGCCCCAGACCCCCCCCCACACACACATGCTAAAATTGGTGTGACCAGAAGATTGTGTTTTTGCAATGGCCTTGCACAAAAATCTCATCATCTATTCTTTTAAAAGTCTTAATTAGGTAATTAAAAACGTTGTGATGGAGGAGAGCTTTATGGATATCATGGATCACCCGGGGGGGGGGCTAATAAGTAGGTTCTAAAAGCAATCAAGCCTGAATTCTCCCTAGTACCTAAAATTACTAAACTGAGACTATTATACTCTGGGAATATCACAAGGCTCACTGAAGAAGACAATAATATTAGAAAAAGTTGAAGGCACCAGAAGAATAGGAAGACCTAATGCGGGACAAACTGAATCAATAAAAGAAACGCTGGGTAGGGCTGAACAGAGCTGTTAACTGATAAGAGTTCATTAATTCAAAGAGTCCCATCAAGTCAGAAGAGACGTGGCAGCACATTTCCCCTGAGAAAATGAAATTATCCCTTAGGATTTTAGCCCAAGTTGAAGCCTGCAGACAAAACATCAATCCAAGACAAATCAGGCTATATTCCAAAGCATCAAATTGGAGTCCAAAATAAATCTTATGGTCAGTACACATCTCTGTTTGCTGTATTGTTCTTCTTAATCAGTTTAACAAAAGTCTATTAGGTTTTGTGGACATTCTTTGGAAGGAGGCTAGGGGGGAAATTAGACATACTCAAATTTGTAAAAAATATATATTCAGTGTATAAAACAACTCAGTAGCAAACATGAGAAAGTTTATCCTAAACATATTTCTAATTTACAGGATTCATATCAAACTTAACAGCCATTTCCATAGTTCTTATCATTCTTACTAAAAAATAAAGTTTAGTCATCTCTCTCTCTCTTTTCAGAATGAGCTAGGATTGGTGCATAATCCTGTCCGCTTATATATTGAACATAACCTGTGAAAGATTTAAAATCATACAACTAGATTTAAGTGCCACTAAAGATTTACAGGAATTTGTAGGAAATTTCCATATTTATAGGAAATTTATACAGCAACATCAGTCTTCTTATTTTCCAGTTTCTGTATCAATAACATTCTAAAATACTCTGTGACAATTTTTTAACGGAATATACTGTACCAGATTTGCTCCTGGTGTCCTTTGATATTTATATACTACTTATATAACCACTTGTGCAGTGCAGTGGTTAAACTGCTGTACTGCAGCCAAAACTGTGCTCACGACCTGGGATTCAATCCCAGGTAGAGGCTCAAGGTTGACTCAGGCTTCTATCCTTCCGAGGTCGGTAAAATGAGTACCCAGCTTGCTGGGGGGGCAATGTGCAGCCTGCATAATTAACTTGTAAACCCCCCAAAGAGGGCTTGAAGCACTATGAGGTGGTATATAAGCAGCACACTTTGCTTTTATATACTTTTTTTTAGAAGTTTATTTTACCATTTCTTGTGCAACATCATCAGGAGTTTCCTTCTCCAGATCAAAAGTAAATTCAATGGCTCCATTATCTTTGGGTTTTCCTTTCAGTTTCTTAGGATCTTCTACCCAGAGTCTTAAGGCAATAGAGGATTTCCTACCATCATCTTCTTCTGCAAGTTCCACTCTTACCCCAGTATCTTCAGCAAAAAAGGCATGGCTTAATAAATCTTTGATTTCATATCTGGAAGAAAAGACAAATTGCAAAATAGATTTTACAACCATATTTAAGAAGGCATTGCGGGAAAACAAAAGGTAGCTAGTCATGATGTAAGAGACGTGAGCTCACATCTCTTACATCACTACTAGTTACAAACAGAGAAACAGAATGATCCCTGTCCAATGATACAAACACTGTGTTTACCCAAAAAAGTAAGTCAGATGTTTTTCATAAGACTATAACTTTTGAAAGTTTTGAAATCAATCCACTAGATTTAAGATTCTATTGAAGTATCATGAAGCCTATCTGCTATTCAATAAGGTTACAAAAAGCCAAACGTTTTTAGTCCTGGGATTTGTTTCCAGCAGAGATCATCCAGACGCTTCTCAGAAGCCCACAAGGAAAGTATGAAAGCAGCAGCTCCTTCCTTTTCTTGTATGAAAAACCCAAAATATTTATTAAAAGTGATTTTTTAAAAAGAGGTCACATAGAAAGAAAAGAGCAGACAAAATACAAATCAGTTAAATGTCAAAATGGATGTGAATACAATGAAGGTCTTTCTGTTTGTTCTACTGCACTGGTTCTTAACCTTGGGTTACTCAGGAGTTTTGGACTGCAACTCCCAGAAGCCTTCACCACCAGCTGTCCTGACTGGGGCTTCTGGGAGTTGCAGTTCAAAAAGTTAAATGTCAAAATGGATGTGAATACAGTGAAGGTCTTTCTGTTTGTTCTACTGTACAAACCATGGGTAAAGGGCGGACATGCCAAAAAAAAAAAAAAAAACACCTTTTAGGGGTAGGGGAAGACATCCACTTAACTGCAATTTCCAAATTCCATTTAAGGACAATCCCAGGTACAGTCCCCTACCGTATTCCAAGAAAAAGACATCTAAGGCAAAAAGACATCACAGCCACGGAGCAACAGGGAACAGACGGCGCACTGTTGTAAAACAGACCTCTAAGGTTCAGCCACCACTACTTGCGCACCTAACAATACACCTGAGCCAAGCAGTACCACCAACCTCTGGGTGTGATTTTTAAAAGGAATTACAGCACCACCCAAAACAGTATCCTTATGAACTGACTGCCACTGTGACCAGATACTTATCTAACTTCGCCAGGCTGAACATCAATGTGTTAACCTAGACCCACTTTTTCATTGGTCACAACTCTTCTGAAGTTCCAAGACTCTGAGCAGGACTGAGTAGCATATGATCTTGTTTTGGGAGCTTCCATAATTTCCTTCATTGCAGCTCACTGCCAAATGTCAGGAGATCAGTGTTATACATACACCCAATATAGTGTGAGACATATGGGTGTGAACAAGACATATGGGGAGAATGTATTCCACCACCACCCCGCTATGTCATGGTCTTGGAAGCTTCTGAGAAGTGTAATTCCTATTAAAAAGAAGTGTATGCTCATTACCTGGCTTCTGGTAAATGGATGGGGGCACAGCTGCTGGCTTTAGTATAGTAGAACATTTTGAAATGCTACGGTAGTAGCTACACTACTAAACTGTTGTCCTGGTAAGTTCAGGGAGAAAGCTTGTACCCTCCAGACCCTGGGAAGCTGCTCATGGACTAAGCAGGGAGGGAGTGACCTATCCCAGACGGTGGGGATGGGAAGGCAACTGTTCTGCTTGGTTCATTAACTGCCTATGTCACAAAGTCATCCAGTCCTGCTCTATGGAATATGATGGGAAAGCACCAGTGGGGACGGGAAGGCAACGGTTCTGCTTGGTTCATTTGCCTATGTCACAAAGTCATCCAATCCTGCTCTATGGAATATGATGGGAAAGCAATATGCAATATAACTGATACACCAAATCTAAATGCCCAAACTATCATCGTAGTTTCAAGTAGATATTAAACAGTATAAACAACCACTGTGTAAAGTTCTGTCTTTCAGAGCTTATTCCTAAGAAAGGCTCAAGCAGAATGGATTTGATTTAAATCAAATTGATTTAAATCAATTTCTCCCTTTAAATCAAATTGATTTAAATCATGGTTTAAATTTTAAAAATCAGATTTATTTAAAATTTAAATTTTAAAAGTTGATTGTTTTGATTGTGACTTAAATCAATTTGTAATTTTAAAAAATCCTTGCTTTTTATCCACCCTGGGCTCAAATCACTGGAAACCAGTGTCCTTCAGAATTTATGTTGGGTAGGCTGTCCTGAAAGTTATTCCATCCCATGGTATCATAAGTTGTTGCAGATCCAGCAGAACCAGGAGGGTACATATGCCCTGCCCAGTTCACCCGGCTGGACAATTCAGTGTGCTTTATCCAAGAGGATGACAAAATGTCCATAAATAAGATTAAAATAATTTATATAACTGGTTTCATCTGAGAAAATCTGTAACAAAACCTTATGAACTACATCAAAAACAGGTTATTCGCCAGATCCTGCAAATCCCCCTACTCCACCCCAAAAGTCAAATTAAAATATATGGAAAAAAACATCTACAGTGGGGTCTCTACTTAAGAACTTAATCCGTATTGGAAGGTGCTTCTCAAGTTGAAAAGTTCTTATGTTGAATCTGCATTTCCCATAGGAATGCATTGAAAACCATTTAATCCGTATCTGCTCTTTTCCGGATTAAAATATATGGAAAAAAACATCTATGGTATTGCTGTAAATACAACAGAAATGTACTATTAAAAACCAACCTTTCTTCTTTATTTTTGCAAATGCACTCTCCAATTATCTCCTTAATTTCAGGGTCAGTAACCTTATCAAAACTTGCTGGTTTGACACCCTGCAAAAGGAAAGAGAAAAAATGTTTTTTTGATATATTGTCATCCTCCTCTAACAGATAGAATTTTTTAAAAAAATGTTTGGCTGACAGTCTAGTTTTGTCTGCTTACTCACTTTTTTAAAAAAACCTTTCTGGGTTTCTTGGATCAATCTTATTGGACTGTACTCATTTCCTTTTGTAAATTGGTTGAGAAGAGTTTCCACACTAAATATTCTACATTCCTGGGAACTAACTGTGGCTTACAAAACAGCAATTCCTTGTGAACATGGTTACATGTGATAATCCATATATAAGCAGGGAAGAAGGTGCACAAAAAGCCCTGGCAATCCAGCTAAGGATTTCTTTGCTAATCTGCCACCACATAAAACTGCTGGACTATACTCTCATCATCCCAAAACATTGCAGGGTGATGGGGGTTGTAGTCCAACACATCGAGAAAGTGTTTCCTTGGGGGAGCTTAGCTAGGGTGATACACATATCAGATCACATGTCAGTTTTACTAGACAAAATGACTTTATCGAATTTCTGTATTTCTTCATTAAAAGAACATTCACTTCTACATCGTCAGTCTAAAGCACCAGATTTTGCATTCTGGACGGGCACAACACATAGTTATTTGAAGCTTTGAAAGCACACTTTGTTTCATGCAGATTTTAATCACTTAGTGAAAGAGAACTATTCTATGCTATTTATAAAGGACATTAACAAGAATCTGGCATAATTGCAACTAAATAATGATGAAAAATGTACCCAACAGGACAAAGATATTGTCATACGAAAGAGAAGTACTAATGATAAGGATTAGAATAAAGCTGTTTTGTTTAGAGGATGACACACAATCTTGCACAAGAGTGCTTCCAGTTGCTGAGCAAATCTCCTCTCATTTTCTCTTCCCTCTACTCCATGAGCCTCCTCCAGATCTCCCTCTAGATCAAGGGTAAGGTGCATTGGGTACTGCAGGGAGAGAGGCTAATAAGGCACATTCCTCCAGCTGCCAGGTGAAGTTGAACTTCACCTAAAGGTACGGGCATGTATTTAACTTTGCCTCAGGAAGTAGCTGAAGGAGGGTATGAGACTGATCACAGGAAGAACAGAAAGTTAGGGATTCCTTAAGCCTTTCTGGCTGGGTTTTGTCCTGACCAAAAATGTCTTCCTCCAGAAACTTTGTCACAGATAGGGAAAGATACATACCGTATTTTTCCATGTATAAAGCATGACTTTTACCAAAATCATTAGAGGAAAAATTGAGGGTTGTCTTATACATGGAAGGAGGTGGAGGCGAAGGAGCAGCCACACTCAGCCACCTCTCGCCTCCTCCAATGCCTCTCGCAGGCTCCCTTTGGACAGGGGACAAGGCGGCGACGTGAGCTGGAAGTGAGCCTCGCGAGTGGCACTGGAGGAGGCAACTGAACGGCGGTGGCAGTCAATGGGCAGCTATGAGAAGCAGCCGAGTGCAGCTGCTCTTGCACCTCTGCCTCTCATGGCTGCCCATTGACTACTGCTGTTGCCTGATCACCTCCTCCAGCACCACTCGCGGGCTCCCTTCGGGCAGGGGACAAGGCGGCAACATGAGCTGGAGGTGAGCCCCAGCAGTGGTGCTGGAGGAGGTGATCGGGTGGCAGAGGCAGAAGCAGCAGGAGGAGGCAGAGGAGCAGCCGAGCTGGGCCACCCCTCGCAGCTGCCCATTGACTGCTCCTCCGCCTCCGGCAAGGATCAAAATTGGGGGTCATCTTATACATTGGAGGGTCGTATACACGGAAAAATACGGTATCTTTTACTACGTTGTATCAAAGCTTCTAATATCAGTTGGGACATTTTAAACATGTCATCTCAGGCAATCAGGGCAATCTGATCCATCAAATATGTAATGTTTTAAAGAAAAAATTACAGCTCCTAGAATACCCCAGCCACCATGGCCACTTGATTCTGAAAGCTGCAGTTTCCACATTCTGGTTTGTGGCAATTGAGATCAGAGCACAAACTAGAGAAAACATTTCTTTCAATATTGATTATCCCAAAGATTCTTCAAATCCCTTGATTTGTTCCATAATTTTGAAAGATGTGTCTGTGTGTTTTCTTGAAGGAGCTCAAGTTTTTACTAACAGGGCAATGTACATTTAAATCACCAATCTGAATGTGGTCTTGAGCACAGCTGCATGTTCTTTATTCATCATTTATTTGTTGATGCAACAAGTATAAGAATATTTCCTTATTGTCTCTCATCCGTAAAAGACATAAAAGCCATTATACTAGTGCTTTTTTTTTTTTGCAAGAACCCTAAGTGCAACCAACATAGTCTGTGTCCAACCATTTGGCTTTTCATGTATGTTCAAGCCTAAGAAGAAATGTTTTCTTTCTGAAATTTAATTCATAAACTTCAAAGAGAAACAGAAACAAAACAGATGCCATGACTCTCCATGCCAGCCATGACATTTCATGGTGGACAAACAAGCAATCGGCCAGATAATGCCTCTCTCTCTCACACACACAGACTTGCACTTGTTTGCACATAGAAAGGCATACAGTACCTGCAAGCAAACTCCAGTGCAAAGCGCAGAAAACTGAAATACCTTAAACACCAGATATTTTTTTTAAAAAGAACACCGTAACATCCTCCATCAGCCAAGATACATAGACCTCTGTCATCTATGAATCATTCCTGAGAGCCCCCATGCAAACATCCCAGGAGCTCCTTGTGCTTGTTCCTGGTGTGTGTTCTGATTGGTCCTAGGGAGCCAACCAGCATGAAACTGGGAGAACCTGGAACTGCACCCATAAGTAACACTGCACAGCTTAGAATTCTGCAGCAGATAGGTAAAACAGTGGCTATAATAGTAAATACACATTTGCATACAATACTTCAGGGGAAAGCTGTGCAGCCAGGAGTGTGCATGCAGTCACAAGAAGCAAAGAATGGGCAGGCAGAATATTCATCTTGCTTCAGGCTGAGGAAGCCAAGTGCAAGCAACTTGTTAGAGGATTCTGGGCAGAGGACAATGTGAGGGGAGCTGTAAAGAAGGCATTGCCCCTATATATTCAAACATAAAAACATAAACAGGATACTGTATAACATAACATGAGGATATTGAGGCTTTCTTAGCATCATTTTAAGCTGCTTATTTTTTGTGCTGAATAAAATGTTCACGCAGTTAACAATTAAAAAAAAAACCAACAAGATTAAAATGAATATGCCCATATCAAAGTCACTTACACAGGTAACTTTCCTGTAAATCTGAGCAGCATTCTGGCATTCTGAATATGGATATTCTGAGGTAGCCATTTCCAACATACACATTCCAAAAGCATATACATCCACGGATTCATCATAGTGCTCTTCATACATTTCTGGAGCCATAAATTCTGGAGTTCCTGAACACAAGTAAAAGAGTTTGGTTTAGATAACTGTTCTCTATATTCAACAAGAGCACAGAATATCAAAATATCAAGTCTTTTCCTTCCAGATTCACTAATATCACAACTGGATGTTAAAATGACAAACTATAATTTATAATATGGTTAACTGTAACTCAATCATAATCATCATTTTTTTTTACTTAATTGCTTATAATCCTGAATATTGGGTTCATTGCAAATGTGCCATTCTGAAGAGGCCTTCCATGCTCAGTAGAATTATTTTCCTTTATCTTACATATCTGCAAGTCAAAAGCAAAGCCAATATCCAAAAATGGTCTTCTGCTTGCATAGCTATACAAATGATTTCTCTGCCACTGCTCCCAGATTCTAGAACTCACTCCCATGGGAAGCCAGGCAGGCCCCACAGAATCATAGAAAAGTGAAGTTGGGCCTATAAGGCCATGAGGTCCAACTCCCTGCTCAACACAGGAATACAATCAAAGCATATCTGCCAGGTGACTCTCTAAGTTTTTCTTCAATGCCTCCAGTACTGGAGCACTCACCAACTCCCAAGGTAACTGGTTCCACTTTCATACTGCTCTAACAGTTAGGAAGTTTTTCCTGATATTCAACTGAGATCTAGTTTCCTTTAACTTGAGCTCATTGTTTTGTGTCCTGCACTCTGGGATGATTGAGAACAGATCCTGCCCCTCCTCTCTATGACATCCTTTCAAATATTTAAAAAGTGCCATTATATCACTCCTCAGTCTTCTTTTCTCAAGGCTTCTTTTCTCATTGTTAACTAACGTGCCCAATCTTTTGCCATCCTTCCACAAGCAGATGAGGACCTTTCTTTTTAGGCATACTTTCCGTTAGGTGATATCTTTCTGAGAGAGGTTTTTAAATGCTTTGTAGCTATGAATGTGCTTTTGGCGTTGATTTTGTTTACTGATTTAGTAGTTTGTTTATTGATTCTTTCTTAACATTTGTGTACTTATTGTTCCTAGCTTTTAAATATTGTCTTTTACTGGTGATGACAGACAGACAGACAGACAGACAGACAGACAG